TTAAAAAAAAAAAAAAAAAAAAAAAAAAAGAACTCGTATGCCCATGAGTTCAAAAGGGAAATACCACCCTCGGGATTTTCAAATTGGTGCAAAAACCCTCGGCAAGCCTGAGGTTTGAAAACCCTATTTGAAACCCTTCGGTTGGAATTCCCCTGTCCTACAATACATCCCTAGGTATATATGCAGTATATTTGAGAGTATATAGGACACTTATAATCTTATCGTATATTTTAAATTATATAAAAATATGTTTTCACTCTTTCATAATCAGACACTGCAGTCTTATAACCGACCATTTGTTAAGTCATTCTTTAACATATTTTCACTATGTAACTTATTTTATGCACGTGTGTTATATATCTTACATAACCTAGGGGTTATTTTATATGGTATCGAAGAAGTTCATATTGGATCAGGGATATTATATAACATTAATATGATATGTCTACTACAATATATATTTTTCTTCTACGGAATTATAAAAATAACTTATATACTGTACAAATTATCTCATTTACTTCCTTATATACATAGGATATCCAATATAATTGAAGTAGTTTATATAAAAACGAGATGTACATGTATCGTAATTTCGATAATTGATGATCCCGATGACATTCAGAATCATGCAAGGCTCAAGTATGTCGCAGCCCCACCTTGAGAGGGCAGCCTCTGATATGGCTGATATGCTTAGAGGAAATCTGTCTACGTCAGGGCGCCCTCCCCGACTTACTGCTTAATAAAGATTTGTTAATGGGTGTATGTGCCACGAACTCTCGTTTGAGAGTTGTCATATTTGTCTGCGCTCAGGTAATCTAAAAATGCTATCACAAAAACTCTTATTCGAAATGAAAGCAACATTGATAAACAAAAGTGTTTACCTTTTTTAAATGATGTTACATTTTTTGTGTCTTCACAATCTATTTCAATTCAGACAGGTCAAAACCGCTTTGTAACCTTCCTGTACGCTTCTGAGGGTATCTCATCCTCGATATCCAGGGGTTACGCTCACTTTCACTCTCTACACCTCCTGAATATGTCATAGCAAAATCGAAGGTTCAGTATGCAGCACCTTGAAGATAAAAAGAGCTGTTTGATTGGTCTCAGGTAAAAAAAAAACCTGACCAATCGCTATGCTAATACATGTCCTTTGAAAATTACAAAGGAGAGACGCCCGACTTCAAAGTCTGTCAATTATTACCGTTACGTGACCGCGAGATACTTTTGACGTATATCAAAGAATATTGCTGACATATTTCAGGGGTGTAGAGAGCGAAAGTGAGCGTAACCCCTGGATATCGAGGATGATTCCAGGGGTGTAGAGAGCGAAAGTGAGCGTAACCCCTGGATATCGAGGATGAGAGGATCTGAACAATTCCGTTCGTGGAGTTGTCATTATGGGCTCTCATAGTGAATTGGGTTACCAAGCGGTTTTGAAAGGTCTGCTTTTGATTCGATTTGTGTCTTCGCATTGATAGCAAGTTGTTAAAATAATAAGAGAAATGAAATTTGTAGCCGTCTACTTTAAGACAGGCCCGGATCCAGGATACGTGCGAAAAGCGGCGGGAAGTTATACAGGTACACTTGTAGTTCGATTAGCGGGTCACTTCTCCCAGATAAGTCAAAAGTATTGTCCTTTCGTTCTAATTAAAGTTAATATTCATGTTGTTATCTTGTTTGGAATAAAAATAATAGCAACAGCTTTCTTGGTTGTCTTGTCTGTCTCAATGTGCTTACTATAGAGCGGTTTATTACAAAATGTCCGGTAACTGTGTGCTTACTATAGGGCGGTTTATTACAAATGTCCGGTAACTGTGTGCTTACTATAGGGCGGTTAATTACAAATGTCCGGTAACTGTGTGTGTGCTTACTATAGGGCGGTTAATTACAAATGTCCGGTAACTGTGTAACTCAGAATAGAATAAAATACAAACGTATATGCACATATTAAAAACAAAACATAAGAAAGAGGCATTCTCGTTTAATTTATTAGCCTTTCAATATATGATCTGTCAAAAGACATCGAACTTTGGATTTTAACTTGTAAACATCCTCTTCCTTCATATCTTTACATAATAATGAAAATGAATACATGACTACTGATTAAATATAACATCACAATTAAAATATATAACTGGATTTATAAAGTAATAAACATGTCTAGAAACGGTTGAACTAAGATTCACAAAAATACTTTTATCAAACAACGCTTTATATCTGTAAGAAACGGTGACATTCAAAACGTATTCTTAGGACTTACAGACAGGGATGTCCACAAGCATAACATGAAGCAGATACACAGATATGAAACTCATATATATAAGTGTACATTATACATATGTGTAGAGGTGAAAAGGAGAGTCTGAGAATATCTAAAACATACTCTCAAGAGTCAATGAAAGCACCAAGAGAATTTAGAAGTGTCAACAAAATCATAATTCGATGGAATCGATTAAACTGGGGTAAATATGAACAAAGGAAAGATTTACATGAATACTCTTGAAACAAGACCTGAAGGACCCGTAGTAGTCATGACA